CACTCATGCACATGTGCCTGGCATGAGTTTAAGTCACCAGGTCTGGGACTTGAACTGCGGTTGACTACATGGGAGTCCAGTGACACAGCCATCATGCCAACTGCTGGTCCCAAAAGAAGAGTGCTTTTGATGGATTGGTAGACAGGACACAGCCTGGGAAAGAATCATTTAGCTTGAAGATATGACAATAGAAACTTCTGGGGCTAGATGGTGTTGCAACAGTAGTATGTGATGTTCTGTGATTGGTTTCTCTTTCTGTCTCACATGCGAGGTTGACATTTTACTTCCAGAGACCTGCCTGAGAATGCCAAGTGTGCGTGTACCCATAATCTCGGCTGGCAGAGGCCAGGGATGTATCATGGCATTAAGACTTTGATGGGGGTTCTTTTTCTTTCTCTCTTTAACTCTGGTGTGTGTGTGTATACACACACACATATTTATTATAATACATTATAAATATATATTTACTATAATATTTACATTATATATATATATATATATATAAAATTAGGTATTTCCCAAACTGAGAGGAAAAGGATGGAGAGCACCAATGTCATAAAGCAGAGGTTAAGTGTTTTACAGAGGAGGCTGGATCCTAGGACAAGCAGTTGGCATAATGGCTATGTCGCTGGACTCCCATGTAGTTGACTGCGGTTTGAGTCCCAGACCCAGTGGCTTAAACTCACACAGGGGCATGTGTTCATGCGTGCTCAAGATCCTGAGAAGAAATCACCCCACCTGTGATTTCTCACTTTCTGTCTCTCTGTTTCTCTCTATCTTTCTGGCGAGCGTACGCGCCCTAAAGCAAAAAAAAAAAAAGAGGATTCCATACGGTTGACTGTGATTCAAATCCTGGCTCTGGTGACTTGAAAGCCATGCCAGGAAGCTAGCCTGTGACCTTGTGGTTATGTCAGCTGGATCTCATATGGCTGACTGAGCAATTCGAGTCCTGGGCCCAATTAACCTGGAAAACATACCAGATGCATGTGTGTGCATACTCAAAATTCCAAAAGGAGGGGGAAATGGAGAAGGGACTGCAGAGTGACCATTCTCCATGGAAAGTGCTTTCTTGGTTTCTCTTTCTGTCTCTCTCCAGTGAGCACATACGTCTTCTGGCAAATTTAGATAGATAGATAGATAGAGAGAGAGAGAGAGAGAGAGAGAGAGAAAGAAGAACCATGCCAGGTTCATGCGCTCATGCCAGGATCCTGTCAGGGAAATGGAGAAACAAACTTGTAATGTGACCAAGCCCTGCTAGGGGAGGCTCTCTCTCTACCTCTCAGGTGCATGTATACACCCTTGGGAGTCAGAGAGAGAGAATAAGGAAGAAAGCACCCCCCAATGGAGTGTGGTTATGCCACAATCCCTTCTCTTCATCCTGTCAGGATTTGGGACATGCATGCACACATGCCTGCTGTGTATATACTCTGTGGCATTAAATAAAGGTGGGGGCAGGGGGAGACTAGCCCCATAGCCTAGTGTTTAAGGGGGCTAGAACACACTTGGCCAATTGTAGTTCGAATCCTGGCTCTAGTGTAAACTTCTATGAACTTATTAGGTAAGAATTTATTAGCTATGACATATACAGCATGAATAACCTTAGGCTAAAAAAAAAAACATATAAGTTAGGCATGGTGGTGTGGAGACTGAGGCAGGAGGACCATGAATTCAAGACCAGCCTGGATCACGAACTCTGACTCAAAAATAAATAAATAAATAAATAAATAAATAAATAAAACTCCATTGAGATAAAAACCTTTCATACTTAAAATGACATCATTGAATAAGTGAAAAGACAACTCAGAATGGAATAAAATATTTCCAAATCATATATCTAATAAAGAATTTGTATCCAAAATGCATAAACAGCCGATAATAAAAAGGGAGCTAACCCAATTAAAAATGGGCAAATTAACTGAATAGACATTTCTTCAAAGCTACACAAATAGCCCATAAGTCCACGAAAAGATGTTCAACATTTTTAGTCATTAGGAAAATACAGACCAAAACCATGGTAAGACACTACTTCATATTCACTGGGGTAGCTATGACTAAGAAAATGGGTTAAACCAGCACTAGCAAGGATGCGTAAAAATTGGAACCCTTTTATTGCTGGTGGGAAAGTAAAATAGGGCAGCCCTTTGGAAAACAGTCTGTGGTAGTTTCTCAAATAGTTAAAACAGATAGCATAGAACCCAACAACTCCACTCCTAGTTATATACTTAGAAGAAATGAAAATGTGTATCTGCAGAAAAACTTGTATATAAGTTCAAACACTTGTATTCACAATACTGAAAAAGTGGAAACAACCTAAACGTCTATCAACTGATGAATAAATACTTGTTTTTAGAGAGATTTTTGCTATAGGCTATGTGAGCTTACCAGAGACAGAGACAGAGAGACAGAAAGCGAGAACTCCCCTCTTCCCACCCCACCCTCACCTTGGGGAGATGGCCATGCCACAATCCCATATCCTCCATTCTCCTTTTGGGATTTTGGGCATACACACACACACACACACACACACACACACACACACACACAGTGTGAGTTTTAAGCTGCTGGGTCCAGGACTCAAACTACATGGGAGTCTAGCAACATAACCATTACACCATCTGCTGGTCACTGAATGAATAAATAAAATATTACAGCTATACAATGAAATGTTATTTGGCAATAAAAAGGAATAAAGTAGTGGAATATGGCACAACATGGATAAACCTTGAAAACGTTATACTAAATGAAAGCAGTCAATCACAAAAGACTACATACTGCTTAATTCCATATTAATGAAATGTCTAAAATGGGTAAATCTATAGGGACACAAGGTAGATTAGTGATTGTCTAGGGCTGGAGGTGAAGGAGTTGGGAACAAAGAGTGATGCTAATGGGTACTAATTTCTTTTGAAATAGTGAAGTGTTTTAACATTGATTATAATGATATTTGTACAACTCTGTGAATATACCAAAAACCAATGAATTGTATGTACCCTTTAAGTGAGTGAATTATATGGAATGTGTATTAAATCTCATTAAAGCAGCTAAAAAATGTGCTCAGTATATATATTTGTAAATATTATGATGATTAATAGTTGACAATTTATGAAACTGTTTAAATACAATAAATTTAACGATCTTGTGTTGTCAATAATTGTTGGTTGAGTTTACAAAGATTAATTGCACTGTTAACATCAACATTTCTCTTGTAACAAACAACAGCTGACAATATTTTCATATTTTTTTGAAAGGTTTTTTTTTTTTTTTTTTGCTATAGGGCGCATGCACTCGTCAGAAAGAGAGACAGAGAGACAGAAAGGAAGAAATCTCCCCCTTAGGGGGATGGCCACGCTGCAATCCCTTCTCCTTCATTCTCCTCTCAGGATCTTGGGCACACACACATACACGCGCCCGGCATGTTTAAGTCACCAGATCTGGAACTCGAACTGTGGTTGACTACATGGGAGTCCAGCGACAGTAGCCACTATGCTATCTGCTAGTCCTCACAAGTATTTTAATAGTCAAAAACAAAATAAGACAGGGTAATCTGTCCTCTCATTGATAATACATGTAAACAAACTAAATTTCATGTTACAAGGAAAGGTAAAGCTTATTTATGATCTAACTAGACAGGTATGAAGATTTATGAAATAAGAACTTTTTTTATAATACAAAGCCTGATAAACAGTACAAAAAGCTATTGACAGCCAACAGGTGGCATGGTGTTTAAAGGCACTGGACTCTGACATGGCCAACAGTGGTTTGAGTCCCGGGCCTGGCCCATTGCTTTCTCTCTCTCTGGTCAAAACTGAAAAATAATGGTAATAAATTTTTTTAAGTTATTGGCTAACTAACTTTCTGTGTTGAACTTGATATCCCTTCTGCCGCCACCTTTTTGAGACCCGTAGGACTAAGAAACCAGGATTTTCCCATCCTGTCTGCCGAGGTATGGGGATTATTCTTTACTTAACTCTGGGAGACAGCTAGCTCTCAAGTCAGGGGATCTTAGGCCTGCTCCGGTCGCAGTGGCAAACATTCAGGACAACGTCACCTGCCCTTTCCCAGCTCCCGTGAAGCTTACTGGGACAGTCAATACTCATCAACTACTTCACCAGTAGAAGTGAGACGCTAGAATGAGCATATTGATGGTACCAAAAAATAACGAGGTGGAGACAGGCCAACATGCACAGCCTGAGATATGGCCAGGTTCTGCTGCGGACCTGTGTGACCAGGGGTGAGTGTATAACTATGAACTCTTTTCCTCATTTTCCTTTTCAAGTCCCCAAACTTGTAGGAGCAAGCAGCATCAAGGCGGCACCTGCAGGCCTTTCCGCAGCATCCAGGGCTGCGCATGATGAGGGCGAGGATTCCTATGGTCCATTTCTAAACCCCGACTCTGGGCTTTTCTGGGCCAGTTCTCTTGTTTATGGATATAAAAGGATCCCGGGTGACTTTTCTAAGGTCACACTAGGAGTCCCGTCACAGAATCGATCCCATGGCTACGTGGTCTCCAACGACTGGCGCCGCCGGTGTCTGGACAACTGCCAGCAATGGCGGCTGCGCAATGTGGCGACTACAGAGCAAAGCCGAGGCCCGGCACCTAGCGGCCAGTTCGGGCACTACAGGGAAAGCGCGGTGAAAAAGACTGGGTACTGCGGCATCCGGGAGCCAATACACGTTCAGTTCGCGCCGCTGATTCCTTTTTTCCATTGGGTCCTTTTACTGTCAATCAATATTTGCACAACTTTTATTGGTTTAGATTCAGTCATTCTGCTCAATCTACCAATCACATGCTTCTTTCTAAGAGCATCTTTGCGTCATTAGATCTCCTCCGGAGTCTGACGAATTTAGTCAGTTCCTTTATTCCATTGGTCGCGTCAGGCCCCGCCTCTTGCTCATCCTGTTCGGGGCGGAAGTGAGAGAGCCCCTGTTCCTATTGGCTGAGATTTGCAAGGGCGGATGTCTAGGAAGTCTTTGAAGATACTAGCGCTCAGGAAGAACGACACCGGAAGGGGCAGGCTTTGCAAAGATGGCGGCGCCGGTGAGTGTGGTGAGGTTTCTTTCCTGCGGAGCTATTTTTGACGTTTTTTTTTACCCTCAGCCGCTCCGGGCAAACTGTTGGTGTGAGGGAAGGGTAGTGATGAAAAGCTGCTTCAGGCAGGTGGCTTCCTTGGCACAGGGACCAGAAACAGCAGTAGGGAGACGTAGGGTTGGAGTTACTGCCCCTCTCCAGTAACCGCGGGGACTGGCCTCGAGTTGACAAGTGCATGTGCCCAGGAGTGAGGAGGCCTGAAGTTTGGAGTATCTGAAGCAGAGAGCGGAGCGTCCCACTCACAAATTACGCCTTCTCGTGGTCCTTAGGAAAGAATGACGTTTCTTTACTCCTCTCTTTTCCATAGGGAGTGTTGGAATCAGACTTTTCAAGTGCCGTGACGCTTTTGAAAAACCTCCAGGAGCAGGTGAGTGCTGTCAGCCTTTCGGAATATTTCATCACGGATTGGCGTTGACTTTATGTGCCTCACTCCTAAACTTGGTAATTTGAGGGCAGATGCATAGATGCTGCCAATTGCTGTTAAGAGTAAAATGATTTAATGAAAACCCTTTCGTGTCAGAATTCAAATTGATTTTTGCCTCCAATAGAATACATAAAACTCCAGAAAGAAATTCTCAGAATCATTTTCCTTTATTCTTTATAGTTAAAGGGAAAGCAGATATGATCTGCCCTCTGGATGCACAGCCAATATGTATCATATAGTTCTATGCATTGTGCGTTTAACCAGTACAGATAAGTCCTCCCATCACCACTCCCTCAGTCCTCATCTCTCCCTATGGTTTGGTAAAGGTAGTCTCTTCTGCTTTAAGAAGCAAAAAGTTTTTTCTTCCTTTGTAGAACTATCAAAACCACGATTCCTATGTTTTTTTTCAGAACTGAGAAAGTAGTACTCTGGTTTAGATAACGTCTCAGATAGCTTTTTTTTGGGGGGGGGAGAGGCTTTTTTGCTATAGGGCGCGGATAACGTCTTGATAGCTTTTAGGTGGCATTGTGTAGCTTTGCTGTTCACAGTTCACAGACATGACTGGATGTAGTCTTGTCAGCTGTTTTATTTGGGTTAATTTCAGGTGATGGCTGTAACTGCACATGTGCAAGCCCTGACAAAAAGAGTTCAAGCTGGAGCCTATCCTACAGAGAAGGTAATGTGTGCTGAAAAAATGAGCATCCCCTGACTTGGTGTTCTCAATGGTTCTTTCATCGCACTGTCCAACTATCATGTCTTAGGTGTAGTAAGTGAGGGAGCTTGAGTAAGATGAGTAAGTTCTAGTTTCTGTGTTGAAGTCTAGTCTTCCCAGACAGATCACAGCAATAGATATAAGCAGTCACAGAGACATGAGGAAGGAGAGTAACTGTTAGAGGAGCCAAAGGAGTCAGGGAAGGCTTCTCAGAGCAGGTAACAGGATTTGGAGAAATAAATAGGAGTCAGGACAGAAGCAGCATGTGCAAAGGCACAAAAGGCCTGAAAGCATGGTGGTATTTTGGGAAAGGAGGAAAGTCATCTTTGTGGTTGGATGTGCATGTTGTGTGTAGGAATGGTGGAGGTTTGTCACAGAGTGAAAACTTTCCCTTTCTTACTTTCTACTTCCACCCCTCCTTCGTGCCTTTTTGAGATGGATGGGCTGCCAGCATGCTTCTTACATCACTATATGTTTCTTTGTTCATTGAACAGATATTTATTAACTTATCTTTTATAACCACAGACTTTCACTAGGTGCTTTACAGCTTACACAGTACCTTATTTGAGCCTTGTAATTACTTTGGGGGCCCGGAAGGAAATATTGTGCATATTTTACAGATAAGGAGACTAGGATCAAAAGGTTAGGTGACTTATCCAGTGACTATCAGATACCTAATTCAGAACTTAAGCTCTGTTTGTTTGTCTTTAAATCTTTTGCTTATTCCTCTGTACCACACTAGTGCTAATCTGAAGATCTTTGCATATTGCTTTAAAGATACCTAGTATGTAGGTGCTGGCATCAGAGCGAGTTTGAATCCCAGCTCTATTTCTATTACTGTATAATCTTTGCCAAAGCGTTTAACTGTTCTGAAGTAGATTTTTTTTTTATGGCTATGAATTTGTCAGTTTGATTTCATGTAGTTATCAGACTCATTTGTCTTACCTAATAACGTAACTAAAGTCATTGACCATATATGTTACTTTCTCTTGTTTTTTTTAAAAAAACCTTGTATAACATTTGCTTGAGTTTCTGCTTGTAAATATAATACACTTTTTAACTTTGGAAAATTTGCAAGATACATAAAGCCACAAGTAGAAAATGAAAAATCAACACAATCATCACTCTGAGATGACCACTGGGGTGTGTGTTTTTTTATTTATTTATTTTTTATCATTATTATAAAAGTAATACATGCTTGTTGGAAAAACACTTTTTCACACTACAAGCACTCCGTGTCTTCCTTTTCTTCATCTCACACCTCAGGGATAGCAGTTAATTATGTGTTTTCTTCCAGACGTTTTTCTATGCATATAAAAATATGTGCATCATACTTCCCCTCCACAACTGGAACTATGTTATGTGCACTTTCTACATCTCATGTTGACATAAATCCATATTAGTGTGTATTAATCATTGTTTTTTTAACCTATATCATATAATTCCATTGTACGGGAGTAAAATCACTAAGTATTTTGATTAACAAGTTAATCTAACATTTAAGTTTATTTCTTTCATGAGGAGGAGAGACAGAGAGAGAGACAGGGAGACAGGTACTCCAACAGGGTCTTCATGCTGTTCTCTACCCTCTAGCTTTAGCCAGCTAGACTGTGGCGTGCACACACCTGGCGTGTTCAGGGAGGTCCAGGGAGGTGTCTAGACTTGAACCTTCCCATGTGATGCAGCCTCTTATAGCTTAGTTACTTCTGTACCACCAGCTGGCCCCTGAAGATAGTTTTGTTTGTTACAGGATGAAAGGGAACATTGGTGGGTAGAGGCCAAGGATGGTGCCTAAAACCTACAGTTCCCAGGACAGTCCTCCATAGCAAAGAATTATCTGGCCATGTATGTCAATAGCTCCAAGATTGAGAAACAGTGTTGTAGTTGTTCTAGGGGGCGATGTCATTGATTTCTTGATGTGGTTGTCTTCTGGTAATACCCTGAGCTTTGTTTCTCATGTGTCAGCAGCATTTTCTCCATGGCTACTGTAGGTATAACTGCTTCTTGAGACTACTGCACCTACTCCACAGAGCTGATATGAACTGACTAGAGACAACCTGAACTTTGAAAAACATTATCCTATTTGCCCCAGGCCCTCTTCCTGATTCTTCAGTTAAAACTGCATCTGCATCTCTTACTGTTATGTCCACCTCAGGGTCTCAGCTTTTTGGAAGTGAAAGACCAGCTCTTGCTCATGTATCTTATGGATTTGAGCCACCTTATTTTGAACAAAGCTTCAGGAGGGTCTCTTCAGGGACATGCTGCAGTTTTGAGACTGGTGGAGATTCGTACGGTATGAAGCATTTGGTATCTCCCAATTCTCGGTTTCTAAATCCTGAACGTCAAGGCAGTTACAGAGTAGTTCTCATATGAGTGGGTGTTCAAGGCACTTACAGAGTAGTTCTCATATGAGTGGGTGTTCTCATTTTCTTTCTTTTTATAAAAAAAATAATTATTTAATTTCATTTGTTGCTATTCTTTTTTTTATTTACTTTTTAAAAATGTCTTTTATTGGGTATATTTGAGGTTTACAAAATGTTATAACAGAGATAAATATAACTACATACAGATTAGCATACTTTTTTTATTTGTGTGGTAAGAGGAGCGAAACCTGTTCCACAAAAACTTACCTATTTATTAATCTATTTTTTCGTTTTTGTATCAATTAAATTTTGTTTGTTATTATTATTATTTCTTTAATTTGACCAGAGACAGTGAGAAAGGAAAAGTGAGAAAGTAAGCCGCCAAGTCCGGGACTCAAACCATGTGGGAATGCAGTGCCTTTAATCACCAGGCCACCTGCTGGCCCCAGATGTTCTCATTTTCAAGGAAACCAATTGAAAAAAGTATTTCTGTTTTCATTTGCTCTACATTGTGCATATCTAAGTTGTGTTATCTAACAACTTCATATACAGACTCTAGTGTGTGCTTGATTTGGGGAAGGAAATGTAATTCTGTTTAAACTACCATGTTGTAGGTTTTGGAAAAGCTTCGTCCCTTGGACCAAAAGTTAAAGTATCAAATTGACAAACTGGTCAAGACTGCAGTAACTGGCAGCCTCAGTAAGTGGGGTCACTATCATAAAGTTGTGGGAACTGTGATAATGTTCCAAAGCATATAAAGTTTCTTCTTTTATTTCCTCAGGTGAGAATGACCCCCTTCGTTTTAAGCCTCATCCCAGCAATATGATGAGTAAGGTAAGGGGTTCATTGTGTTCGTGGTTTTCCTGAGGGGGCCAACATGTCACGTAGTGATGCTGCGTCTCCTGGATTCTCATACCACTTGATTTTACAACTCGTGCCTTAGAATGATGAGTATGAGGTTCCTTTTCTCCCGTTTGTTTATATTCACACTCCCCCAGAGAACTGCAGCTTTGGGTTTTCATCTCACCTGTCTGCCTAATGTTTCCTGAGTTTGTGTTTATTACGTTCCTTTTGTAGTTAAGCTCTGATGAGGAGGAAGAAGGTGAAGCAGAGGATGGTCAGTCTGAGGCTTCAGGGAAGAAATCTACAAAATCTAAGAAATACGTTCCACCACGCTTGGTTCCTGTCCATTATGGTAGGAATTGTGGCTACTACCTCCTCGGCATGGATATATTTTTCTTCTCTTTTTCTCTCTTGGATAACTCTTGCTGACTTAAATCACATAGATGAAACAGAAGCTGAACGAGAGAAGAAGCGTCTGGAACGAGCCAAGAGACGAGCATTGAGCAGTTCAGTCATTCGTGAACTTAAGGAGCAGTACTCAGATGCTCCAGAGGAAATCCGTGATGCTCGGCATCCTCACGTTACTCGCCAGAGTCAAGAGGACCAGCACAGGTCTGGGCCCCTGCAGTTAGACATTTCACTGAGGAGACTTGTCTTAGTGCTTTGGGTGAATGTGGTTAAGTCTGTTACTAAGGGAACCAATATTATATAGAAAGTGGAGTGAAAAATGTGGGATGATAGTTTCTAAAAATGAGTTTGAAATACAGAACAGAAACTAGGGAAAAAAACCTTCCCAGACTGTTTAGGCTGAAGCAAATGCCATGTGAAGAGGGACATAGTTCTGTATAGTAGAGTTTTGTTTTTGTTTTTGTTTTGTTTTTTAAGTTATTTAATTTTATCCATTGACATTATTTTATTTTATTGACATTGACCAGATAGAAGGAAAGTGAAAGCAAGCTGCCTGGTCCGGAACTTGAACCACAGTCAGCCACATGAGAGTCCATCCGCCTTAACCACCACACCACCTGCCAGCCCTGCATAGTAGGGTTTTTAAATTCCATATTTCACTGTCACATCTCTTACTATTTTGCAGAAGGCAATAGAGGCAGGTCTCCCCTCCCCCGCCAGGGTTTTGCCTTAGGGCGCATGTGCTCAGAAATACAGACACAGTGAGAGGCAAAGTGAGAAATCACCTGCCAGAGACGTGGTCATGCCACAACCTTCTTCTCTGTTCTCCTCCCAGGATCTTGGGCATGCATGCACATGCTCCTGGCGTGATTTTCAAGTCATTGGGTCCAGGACTCAGACCCCAGTCTGCCATGTGGGAGTCCAGCGATGTAACCACTATGCCATCTGCTGTCCCTGAGGCAGTTTTTATAATGGGGTTAAGAGTGCTAGAGAAATTTAGGGAAGAAAAGTAGAAAAGCAGTTATAGCTTGAATGCAGATTTTTTTATTTTGCCCAGCTGTAGTCTCTAGCTGATGAATTTCCATGAAAAGGCCAATTTAGGAAATCCTCTTATTAGAGTAGAAATATTAGAATTTTTTTGTACAATGTAAGTAAGCCTGTGGATAGGCTATGAGTTCATCTCTAGAGATGAAGGAAGTTCTAGCAAAGGACATTTAACTGGGGGTGCTCAGTCTTTATTAAGTACCATATTGATCTGCTGTGAAATTTCTTGAGACCTCTGAACAAGGGATAAGTAAATACCTGGGCCTAGGTTTTCGGCTGCAGCTTCCCACCTCCATGATCTGAGCATGCTAGGAAGTGTGTTTTTCTCTGGCAGGATTAACTACGAGGAGAGCATGATGGTGCGTTTAAGTGTCAGCAAGCGAGAGAAAGGACGGCGAAAACGAGCACATGTCATGAGCTCCCAGCTTCACTCCCTCACGCACTTTAGTGACATCAGTGCACTGACAGGAGGAGCTGCGCATCTTGATGAGGTGAGGTTGAGATACAGTGGTAGGAGGCTGCCTTCCTGCTTGCAGCCAGGTGTACGTGGGGCTTAATCCCATGAGGAACTTGGGAAGGGATGCCGGCACCCGAAGCACGCTGCCATTCCTTCACTTCTTGATCTGTCTCCAGGATCAGAATCCTATTAAAAAGCGGAAGAAGATACTTAAGAAAGGTCGGAAGAAGAAAGGTGAGTGAACCAGTAGGACTTAGGTGATCAAATTCAAGGTAGAGAGTATGAACTGAGAATTCAGCTCTGAGGATTTGCCATCTCTTCCATACTGGGCATTAATCAGCTTAGGTGGGTTTTTAGTTTCCTTTTCTCCTAAGCTGGAAATCAGCTTCATTCATGAAAAGGATCTCTGGATTTCATCCTTCAGGTTCCATAGCTCCTGTTCAGGCTTCCTTAAATATAGCAGAACTGTAAAAGAGTCTCTGGAAGGAAATGCCGTCCTATTTTAATTTCACGCCTACTTCTTGTCTTTTGTCCTGGGAAGATAAAGAGAGTACTGCCTAGGAGACTCACCCCTGTGGAGCCCTTCTCTCTAGGTGTCTTTTTTCCCCCTGTTCCTTTAGCTTTTCCAACTGTCCTTTTCTCATTCTTGATTTCCCTTCCTTTCAGGTTTTCGGAGGCGGCGGTGATTACGGGGTATACATGTATATATATTTTTGTCATCCTGGGATATTTCTAATTTCACTGTATGTAGGTTCTTCCCCCTTGGAATTTATTCATTGTTTACTTTGAACATATGGAATGAACTTTACTAATAAAGTCAATTTTATGTATGAATTAAAGCCCCTTTGTATATGTGTATAGTATGACTGGAATCAGTGGGTTTGGGGTATTTGTGGTGAGTGAGTGATAAAAATGGAAAGATGAGATTTTGCTGCAAGTATAAAAAGTTCGACCTTATGATTTTCTTTTTTTGATGCTATATTTAACTCAGAAACAGGGCTGGCAGGTGGCGTGGGGTGCTGGACTCCCACATGGCCAATCACGGTTCGAGTCTCGGACCTGGTAGCTTTCTCACTTCCTCTCCCAACTCTCTCACTCTCTGGTCAAAATTTAAATAAATAAAGTTAAATAAAATAATTCTTTAAAAAAACCCTTTAACCCAAAACTATAAATTGGACATTTGCTGTAAAAGATTATGATTAGAGTTGTAGCATCAATTCTTCTGATCCACATTGCCCCAACTTCTTGTATGATTTGTTATAATATGTACAGTTCCATGGAATCTATGTTTTGGGTTTTATTAATATATCTGACCTGGCCACCAGGTGGCACTAGTGGCTCAGAAAGCCTTTGGTGCCCATTGATTCATCAAAAGCAAGATAGAACCTTTCCACATCAGCAAGAGTTATTCTCGTCTCCACTTCTCTGAATGTTTTTCTTTTCTTATTTTTTTTCCCTCTTAAATAGCATGCACAGAGTGTTGGTTTTTTGGTCAGTCACTGAGAGTTTGTAGAGATTAGCAGAGTGAATCGAGGGTACTAGAATGAAGAGTCAGTATAATCTTGTCTTGTTTATTCTCTTTGACCCACCTTCAGCCAAGATTCAGTACCCCAGTTGTCAGTAAAGGCCAGCCCTTTTACAAAAAGCTTGCAGAAGAATGGCAGCAAGTAGGCAGCCAGAAGATTCCTAGCTTCATAGCCAAAAGAATGAAACTCCCACAGAAATATCAGCCAAACCAAGGTCAGGAGACTGGTGAGAGTTACACATCTGAGATCTTATATTCTATCCAGAGAATAACCTCTTGGTGAGAGATCCCACAGGCCTTGGATAATACAGAAAGAAAAAAAAAGAGATTATAAAAAAGAAGTTGGGTCAATATAATTGATTCATTTGAGATTAAAAAATAATACTTTGGGTCTTGTGAACATCTGATACTAATGTCTGGC